TTCCCTTACATGGGATTCAGTCCTGCAAGGGTTGTGCACAGGGAAAAATGGCCTCTGAATCTTTCAAGCCATCCTGGAAATGTGCAACTCATCCTCTTAAACTCGTTCATGCCAACTTCTTAGAACTTCCCATTGAATCCTACTTTTGCTCCAAGTATGTTTTAACACTACTTGATGACTACTCTTCCTTTGGCTTCTGCATTTATTTGCAGAATAAATCAGACACATACCAACATTTTGCTGATTGGCTTCTTGCTATGCAATGCCAACTTGGTTATGAATTGGGTACTCTCCATTTGGATTGAGGGGGAGAATTCATGGGAAATGCTTTCAAAGCACTCCTCACTTCAAGAGGAATTGGTCATCAGCTTTCTATAGCTGACCAATCACAACAAAATGGTTGAGCAGAATGATTCAATAGAACTATCCTGGAGAAATCTGGAGCTATTTGTCATCATGCATGCATTCCAAAGAAATATTGGAACTTTGCTTTTGACTGTGCACTCCATGTGTACAACAGAACACTGCTCAAAAGGATTCAATTCAAGACACCAGCTGAACTTTTCACTGGCAAAATTCCAGATATTTCTTATTTTCACACATTCGGTTGCAAAGTATATGTTTGGGTTCCAAAAGAACAGTGAAAAGATAAATTGGATCCACATGCAATCGAAATGATATTTTTAGGATACAAACCAAAAACAAAAGGCTATTGATTTCTTTATGGCCATAAGGTCATTTTATCTTGTACCACCAAGTTTGTAGAAGACTCCTTGCCATTCTGTTCTTGTTCGGATAATAGACAAAGAAAATCTGATACCTCAAGTGACCCAGATTCTGATGACAACCAATCATCTGGTTCTAGCGATTCTGGTGGAAACCTACCAGATTTTGGGATTGATCCTCCCATTCTTGGACCTCATCCAATCCAACCACAGAATCCACAACAACCTCCTTATAATCCAAACCCACAGCAGGGTGGTCAACAACAAAACAGACCAGCTATACCTCCTCCCAGATCACACAGAGCACCTGCTGTTCCTCCCAATCTTGTTCAACACCCTCACCAACCATATCCAGTTCCTGGTGATAGTAGAAATCTTTGAAGGGCACACCTGGAACAAGCTGAACAAAGGGAACCTCATCCTAAACACAGAATAATCCCTGTTACTCAACCAGACAATATTTATGGAGCTAGACCTCCAGTCCAAATCAAAAGAGATATTCACAATAATAGAGACACAGCTCAGGAGTGGATTAGGAATGCTGAGCAACATGCTCACAATACTAGGGAACAACAAAGAGTCATAACAGAAGAAAGGAGACCTCTGTCACCTCAAAGACCACAGGCTCCTCCTGTTCCTCAGGAATGGATTTCACATCCTCCTACATCTCCCTTAACTCCTTTACCCAAATCCACTACTCCACCTGAACCTGAAGCTGGTCCTTCTCAAACTGCATGCATTGAAGAAGAAGAAGAAGACCAAAAAGGGTATTTCACAAATACCTTTGAATTCCTTCTTGCCACACATGTCAAGGAATCTCCAGAACATTACAAAGACATCCTAAAACTTAATCCAGAACCCCAAAAGAAATGGTTTGATGCTATGAAGGATGAGATTAAATCTATCGAGGAGAGAAATGTTTGGACTCTCATGGATCCAAAACCAGATTGCAAACCAGTCAAATGCAGATGGGTTTTCACTATAAAAAGCAATGGTTGCTATAAAGCTTGTCTTGTGGCCAAAGGTTTCACACAAAAATTTGGAACTGACTTTGAAGACACCTTCTCATCAGTCACTCGTTTTGAGACAGTGTGAATTCTTCTATCATTCACTGCTCAACAAAATTGGGAAATGAGCACCTTGGACATCAAAACTGCTTTTCTCTATGGCAGTTTGGATGAAGAAATTTATATGGAACAACCTGAAGGCTTCAAAGTTAAAGGTCAAGAGCACAAGGTTTATCAGTTGTTGCATGCTCTCCATGGATTGAAGCAAGCAGCATTAGCATGGAACAAAGCCCTTCATGCTTCCCTACTTCACATGGGCTTCATTAGATCTAAAGTGGATGCAGGGATTTATATTTTTAAATCCAATGCAGGCATGGTCATCTTTCTTGTCTATGTTGACGATGGTTTATTTTTAGGATCTCATCCTAAACTACTAAAAGCAAAGAAAGATGAGTTTATGAAGAAATGGGAATCTAGAGATCTAGGTGAATGTAAAGAATATCTAGGTCTACAGATCCACAGAAACCATGCAAAGCACAAGATCTACCTGGATCAGATCCCTTACATCAAAAAGGTGATCAAACAATTCCAAATGGAGAATGCACATAATGTTCACACTCCACTTCCTTCTGGCTACCAACCGAAGAAATCCGAAGCTTCCTATCAAGCTTCTTCTTCACTTCATTCCCAATATCAATCTATAATTGGATCTTTACTCTATATGGCCTTGGGTACTTGCCCAGATATTGCTTTCACAGTTATTTGCATGTTGCAATACATGGCCAATCCCACAGAAGATCACAAACAAAAAGCATTACATATTGTCAAATATGTTGCTTCTACTCCAAAGCTTGTGCTTTACTATTCTGGGACCAAATCTCGCATCTTCAGATTTGCTGACTCTGATTGGGCTGCCAATGTGGATACTCATCATTCTACTACTGAATATACCATGTTTCTTGGCACCTCCCTTATCTCTTGGCGATCATGAAAACAAAAGACAATTGTGCTTTCATCAACTGAAGCCAAGTATATGGCTTTATGTGACTCTGCCTGACAGATTAAATGGCTAAATATGCTTTTTAATAAACTAGACCTTAAAACAGAGAAAACTATTCTCTACTGTGACAATATGGGTGCTTGCTTTACAGCTGAGAATCCTGTCTCAGATGGTCACTCAAAGCATATTGATGTCCAGTGGCACTTCATTTGCAAATGTGTCCAGGATAGTCTTTTTGCCATTGAATATATCCAAACAGACCAACAAAAGGCCAATGGATTAACAAAATCTCTCATGTGGCAGAAATTCAAAACAAATCGCTCATTGCTCGGTCTCATTACCTTACTGTTCTAGAGTGAGGGGGAGTGTTGGAAATACCAGTTAACGGTGTTTCTCATTACTGGTTCTAGACTTGCTTATTCTATGACTGTTACTCATATGATGTCATGCTTTATAAGTGACTCCACAATGACATCACTTTACTCCACTTGTTCCATAACATTCTATTCTATTCTTTACTATACTTAGTAGGTAGTATGGTTACTTACCATATGCGTCACCTGGTCTGTGTGCATTCCTACATGTATATAAACTCGGGGATTTCTACCATATCCCCTCAGTGAATTCACTCTCAGTTTTACTGTTCTACGAGCCTCAACAGCTCTACTACAAACCATTTATTTCTCAAGCTCTATCCAATCATAAAGGCAAGTGCTCGGTCTTAGCTCTCGCCCTTTTCCCCTCTGTCCTCATTCCTCTGCCAATATGTGATCCTCAGTGTCATGTTGCCATTGCCAAGTCAACCAGTTATGGGCGCATAAAATATCTTGTTCTTTGTCTGTAGTGTGCTGTGCGACGTTGTGAACATGCAGTGAATGATCCGCAGCGGCGCAGAACGACCAGCTGGCCTGGGATGGTTGGTACGATTATCATACCAAATTAGGAAATCCATCCAAATACCAATTAAATAACTGGTGATAAACGTCTACAACCTCTGAATTCTACATGAGACGGATCCGTGTCGAACCTGCGTCGGACCACCGAAGAATCTGGTAAGATTGAGACCATCCGAGTCAAATCCGAGGTGGACACGAACCTCAGCAGGATCTCCCTCGAATCTATTTAAAATCTGAGGGTTCTTGCCACATCCGTCACAAACATAATCTGGCTTTTTTTGCAGTGTTAGTGCCACGTGGCGGATGTCAATGAAAATTATTAACGGCTTGCGTATCTGGAATACCACGTTGCGCCCAAGAACCGAACGATGCAGTACAGATTACCCCATTTTCCAATTCGGACCAGCTGCTGTCCGTGAGGCACGCAGGCATGAACTAAACCCTTGGACCCGCATCAGAACGTTCCAGTGAGGGTTGCCATGAGGGGTCAACGTTGCCATCGGCGCTTGTTTGCGGTGACCTGGTGCTTGCTTAGAGGGAACATTTGAACATTGTCGGGAACACTACGATGCATGGCGATCACTACTAAGTACATTGGGACATCGACTAAACGGACCCATAGCAGCCTGCGCTAAGCACGAACGTGCTCAGCGCCAGTGAGCTCAGCACCGTGATCAAGCAGGTAATTGACAACCTTCTCGTATCCGCGCTGATTAGCAAGCTCAATTGGCGTGAAACCTGCGTCGTCTGGGAGTAGGTAATCGCACCCACATTCAACAAACGTTCGTGCGATGTCTTGGAGCTGTCGCACGGTAAGAAAGTCCCGTCTGCCCAATCGCAATAGGTGGTGTAGTGGATTTTGGCCCTTCCCGTCGCGCGCGAACACGTTAGGTTGTTCGAGTGTTCTGGCATGTCGCGCAAGAGCGCTTAATATGTCGACTAGTGGATTATCGAAATGGATGAGAAGAGAAGCAAAGCAGGACCGATGTCCCACTAATTTTTTCGGATGACTGAGAACACTAGAAATAATGTCATTCGGGAGACGTGCCCCCGCATCCAGCAGAAACTGGACTGCGTGGATACTTCGAAGGACAGCGTAGTGAAGGGGAGTTTTGCCTTCTGAATTTCTTGCGTTTACGTCACAACCTGCATCGACTAGCATTCGTGCCATCTCTATCGCGTCTTCGTGTCCTGGCCAGGTCGAGTGGAAAAGTGTGTGCAGAGCCGTATCCTCGGTGATCGAAGTTGCCAGCGCATTCGCACGACGTTCGAGGACTAGATGAAAGCATGCCAGTCCCTTGGTATGAAGGATGATGTCATGTGGCACTTGCGTGGAATCGTGCTCCAGCAAGAACAACACGACCGATGTAAGTCCACGAGAGCAAGCGAGGTGCATAGGCGTCTTCCCATGAAAGTTAGGAACAGAAGTAGGACAGCCAGCTTCAACGAGAAGCTGTGTTAACTTGACGCAGGTATCCTCTTGAAGCGCTGAGGCACTGAGGCATCTGTGCAAAACTGAATGTCCGCTGTTATCCACGGATGTAACGTTTGCTCCTCGTGCCAAAATATGACGTATCACAGAAGCGAATCCTGAGGAAGCCGCAAGATGTAGGGGAGTCTCTCCGAGTGAATTCGCCAGGTCTATAGGGCAGCCCGCCTCGGCAAGAAGCAGTGCCGTTTGCAAGCAGGCGTCCTCATTGTACCGAGAAGCGGTTGTGAGACACCAGTGTAACGCAGAATTGCCAACATTATCAACTAATGTCACGTCTGCTACCCATGCCATGAGAAGACGTATGACCGAGGGAAACATCCGACCGGCCGCGAGATGCACTGGTGTCTCACCCTTCGAATTTCGCACATCAACGGGGCAGCCTGCTTCAAGCAGAACTTGTACGACTTCCACGGTGTCCCCGAGGCCCTGAACATAAAGGCATTTGTGCAACGCAGACGCTCCATCCCCATCAAGGCTCATGGGATCTGCCCCCCTTCCTAGCAAGAACTCGACCACTGAGAAAAACCGACGACGAGCTGCAAGATGTAGTAGCGTCTCATTAGATGAATCCTGCGTATCGATAGGACAACCTGCTTCCACCAGAACTTCCACTATACCTAGGACTTCAAGTTGATCGCCACGGTCCAAGCATTTGTGTAAGGCACATGCTCCCCAGTTGTCGAGAGTAGCAGGATCTGCATCCAGTCCCAGAAGCAGACGAATCTGTGAGGCAGTGCCAGAGCGAGCGACAAGATGGAGCAATGTCTCGCCAGCTGAATTACGCAAGTCGACGGGAAAGCCCGCTTGGACCAATAGCCATGCAGTTTCAAAACGATCTCCTTGCCAACCGTCAGAAGATAGGAAGCACTTGTGCAATACTGAACGGCCGTTTTTATCAAGGTGCATGACAGTCGCCTGAAATCCCAGAAGGAGGCGTGTGGCCAGCTTAAATCCGCGGGAAGCGGCGAGATGCAACGGTGTCTCTCCTTCCGAGTCCTGAATATCTGCCGAGGCTCCTGCTTCAAGTAGAAGTAACAATAGTTCCTTCCGAGCTTCTCCGAAGCCATGTGTTTGAAGGCACTTGTGCAGCACAGAAACTCCGTGGTTGTCAGTGTAAGAGATATCTGCGCCTCGATCCAAGAGAAAACGGGTCACCGCAGTAAATCCAGAGTAAGCTGCAATATGCAGAGGTGTCTGTCCTTCCCAATCTTGTACGTCAACAGGGCAACCTGCTTCAACAAGAAGTAATATTAATTCCAAGCAGACTTCCTCTCTGTCACATGCACGTATGCATTTGTGCAACGTGGATTGTCCCCATTCATCCAGATAACCAGCATCCGCGCCACGCCCAAGGAGAATATGGATAAGTGAGAAGGACCAGTGGTCATGACAGCATATGCGATGGATGATATCCTCTCGTACAATCGGCATCAGGGAACATAGTCTTTCTACGAAGGGCAGCGTGAGCTGCCCATTTGCAGAGAGAGCGAAGGACACGGGATCAAATTCTTCGAAAGTGACAGAACCATCCTTGAACGATGCAGATGGCCACACCAGATCCTGTCCCCTCCTCATTAATTCTTGCACTACGTCAAGTCTTTCGCCCTGAATTGCATACTTCAGTGGATTTCCAACCCCAGTACCATTGATGACGTGGGGACGGAGGTCCAGATAGTGGTTGACGAGCCAGGGCGACCCGAAGTGGAGTATGATAGACGAAACAGAATCGGGGCTATCGAATAGCGCATTGAAGGAAGTATCAGATAACGTCCGTGCCAACGCTTTGAGCTTGTCGAACTTCTGTGAGTAATTCATGACGTTCTTCTGAAACATGTCCAGATAACACAGCAATCGGTCGTCGTCGTCGCTCGAGATACATCGGATGTGCTGCAGCCCACTGGTGACGCAGTAACTGATTAACCTTTGCCACTCCGGGAGAGACGGAAGACGATTGCAAACGTCATTGACAAGGATATAAGTAATCGACGACAAGGCGAGCTGTTGGTGTGCGGTTGCTGGTAAAATGTAGAATTCCCGTAGGTCAAGACGGACAGTTGGTTGGTTGGTCAGATATTCCTGAAACAAATGTAGTTGAATATGTTCCACTTCAGCAATGTAATTACTTACCTTCACGCTAAAGTGAGACAAGGACAGTATCCTTGTCTTTTCGTCCAAGCTCACAAGGCTACTGCAAGCGTTGAGGAGGCAATCCTCATCTATCACACCCGTCTCGTCGTCTATGGTAAGCTTCCCAATCTCAATCTTTACGGCCTCCATGACTGCTTGGATGTGCAAAGGCCGCAGGGAAACAACAAGCCAGCAAAGAACCCGCAGAACGACACGCTTCCAAAAAGGCTTCTCGTTAATCGCGGAGAGTATTCTGTAATACGTTTCGTTGAGGTCTTCTGGAAGTGTATTGAGAACGTGATCGATTTCTCCTGTCCCTATGCATTTCTCTAGCCTGTCGAGTTGGCATTGCGCCCACCGAAACCTACGCACAATGCATCAAATGTGGAGTGCGCGAGCACCATGTATATGACTTACATGCCATCCGACTTCTCAACCAAGCGTTCCAGTATCTCTGTACGAACTCTGTCCGGCAAACATCTGAGAGTGCGCCGACAACCAAGCTCTTGAACGACGAGAGCATGCAAGTCGTCGCGCCGAGTTCGCCATTTCTCTTCAAGGGAAATCGTAGCTGAGAAAAAGAACACGTCTTTATACACCTCTTCATATGCTTTTCGAACCCGAGGTTCATCTCTACTCGTCAAGAAAAAGGAAAGATGCCCAGTATTCATCCGAGATATGATCTTGAGTAATTCCCTCCCGCATGCGTCCTCACATTCGTCAAGGGCATCAAGTACAACAATTGGTCGTTCGTGAAGCCTAGAGGACCTTAACAGCCAGTCAAGGAGAATGGCGTGATCGCTAGGCAGAGGAAACCCGCGTGACTGACGCTCTTGAACATCCGGGAACAAGGGCAGCCAATTCTTGTCAGACTGACGAAAGAATTGAGCGACCAACGAACGAAGAATGTCTGTAACTTGGACATCCCCCGCCGTTTGGTAGTCACAATAGAAGTATCCCAGTGTACAGTTTCTTTTCTCGAGTCCATCTATGACAGCAGAGCTATTTACCGAAATTCCAGATCAATCACGTGACTGTGATCCTTGGCTGAAGGGAGGGTCAACTCACGATATGACTGTCTTCCCCGCTCCAGCTAACGACGTGCATAAGTAGGAAAGCCATCGGACGAGGTATGTGGAAACACCGTACGTTTTCCGTACATCCAGAGTAAACCGCCTCCCCTCGATTCATACCAACGGGTAAAACACTCGTCCCGAAATAACCACGTGCACGTGGACCCTTGACGCTTTCTCCGAGTCAATGCATGTTTTTCTGAGCAATCGATGCATTGAAGCCACTCTAGAACCTTAGACTGACATACATCTGCGAATTAAAATATGACAATGTGTACAAAAACTACGAAGGTGTCATAATTACCTCGTTCAGTATCTTCCCTCTGGGTCACCAGGTCATGCAAGGACAAGACACGATCACTGACAGTGGTCAGCCAACCAATTGCTGGGCACCGACGACGTTACGCACAGTGTTGCAGCCTGAAGCAATAGAGACATATCGCCTTTAGAGCGTTGGAGGGTAGTCAACCACTTCTGCAGTTCTTTCTCTTTCTCTGGCCACAGAAACCTGGAATGCCAGGATTTATGCGTAGTTTCCAATTGATGGACTAGGTCTCGCGAAACCTTGTCGCAATTTTCGAGCGAATCCCTTACAGGCACTATAGCAGGAAGGTGATGTTTGACGGTACCCGAGTCTTGCCTGTGGGTCACAACAGACAGCTGAGTCTGCACAGCAGTCAACACCATCCGAAACGACTGAACCTCCTCTAATACTTTGCGACGGGATTGCTCGGCTTTCATCATAGACAGCGCAAAAGAGCTGAGAGTAAGCAATATGCGATGTGCCCCATCGGCATTGGCTTGCAAGGTCGCCAAAGCCGAAAGGATCGTCAGAGGATCCATGAAGACGTTACCTCCTGAGGCAGCTTGGAGGATGCGATGTCAAGGCTGTTCGATGAGTATCAAATTAAGCCAACGGCAAGCGTCGACCATCTTGAGAGCCGGTGTGGAGCAATCCTTCAAATTCTTGGATCAAATTGATCATGGAGTAGGTCTGCGGGGCCCGGCAGAACGCTGGCAGGCCCTGGGGCTTACCGGGAAAGAGGCACATGGTAAATGAAATGCGATAAAGCAAATTTGGCCGGCCGCAGGCTGTACTGTAGGACCTCGTGTTGTTGAAGCGCCGGGCACAATTGTCTTCCTTGCCTTGCGTCGACGGCGTGTTTGATGCCTGCGATAGAAGCGAGAACACCCAAAGAATGGCGACTGCATCGGAAACAGGTTCACATACTTAACGATCCATGCATTTCGCACCAAATTCTGCAGTTAGGGGGCCCGTCTAAAGTCCCCTTGTGCAGTTTCTATTAACAGCATATAAAATCCCTAACACGTAAAAAATCCATGATACGTCAACGTAACGAATTGGAATTAGCGGGAAGCCGTTGACCTATCGTCTAGACCTGAGTATAAAATCACCAGCCCCTTGTGCGCGGGTGGGTGATTAGAGTGACCGCTTCTTCCGCCGATTCTTTAGTGTTTGTGTAGAGAAACCCCTTTGCGCCGCGAGAGATCATCCCTCTCCACAAACTGGTTTCATACTCCCTGAGCTTGGCCCACCCGCCTCCCCGTAACCGTAACTTATCCCACCCAGTAGCAACTAGGACCACGGACGAGTAGAAGTTGTTGGCCTCACATATTCCGCTGAAGTAGTCGATATCGGGCCGCACAGGTCGTCTATCGTCCATGTTTTGGAGATACAGTATACCGGCGAGATGGTCACTGCGTCTGTGACAGCCTGAAGTTCAAGGCACAGACTCATCACTTAGTTGACATCCTCACCTCGTTTTCCGTAACCAATTCCGCACCAAGCGGAAGATATCATATTCAGACAAAAGTCTGCCATCCGCAAGGGAACCGATACCGGGAGTGTCAAGAAGGGTAATATTGACTCCCCGTATGTCCACAGCCGTGGCCGTTATCCGAGACGTTGGATTATTAAAGCGGGAAGCGGTTCGGTGCAAGGAGTGTCCCGTGAGCTGGCGTATAAACTATCACATAGCTGCAGCGGTGCTTTTCACAACATCGGGTTCAACCTCACCGAGGTTTTCCCTGACCCTGAGGGCCCGATCAACCTGCAGGAAACAACGTGTGATTCATTTTCAGCTTAGAATATGTGATGGAACTCACGCGATGATCATCTCATCCTCCAGATATGCTGCGGGCTCAGATCTATCAAAAGGGACATCACTGAAGAAAAGATGGAAGGAATTACCACTCCGTCCGCATATTGAGGACCACTGAGACAAGTCAGTAAAAGATCGCGGGTCTTATAATTGACCAAATTGACCATCGTTAGGTAGTAGGAACGCATTGTACGTTGCAAGGGCAGTTGATGGTTCAGACACTTGCGCACCATGTTCGCCCAGTGGCCTACTAATAAGCAATTCTCCCAACAGGAGCATGGATAACGCATGGTGTGCGTAAGGCGTCGGTCTTCTTCGTAGTTTCAATTGCATACTCAATACCTTTGCGTGCATTACTTCCCCCATTCATATTAGCGCTTTGCGTCGACCTTGTCGCCTTTGCATCCTATCACCTTACTAGATTCCCCCTTGCTGTTGCGCGGATTGCGGAGTACTACTTGCGTTCCCGCTGTTATCGCATTCCATTTTATGTCAAGGCATGAAATAGTATCGTTGCTATGTCGGTGGGCAGCAGTTGAAAACCTAAGTCCGTTAGGAGAACAGCGTTGGCTGTTGGCATTGGGCGACCGTCGTGCGAATAACGCGAATAACTACATCAGTAAAGCTAAGCGTTCAAAAACCTGGGTTTTCAAGCGCTTAATGTTCGCCAGTGTTTGCCGAGCATTCAAAAACTGTCTAATGTGCATGCTGTAATTTGGCTGAATTTACTGATTAGTAGGTCTTTTGCAAAATTGGTATCAAATTTGGGTCCTTTTGTCTTCGCTTCACTCGATTATTAGCGAAGTCCATGTTTACCACGTGTCCTTGAAGAAACCTTCTTGGGTCCTGGCGTCAATAGCTACAAGCCTGCCACTTTGGTCATCTACGTTGCTTCATGGTGAATGCATGTCCGCGCTGCCCATCATACAGGGCAAAATGCTTGTTACACGTAGCGACGAACAAAACGTGTTATCCCGGGGATCGGATGCGCGTGGTTACGGACTGAGCATATGCGCAGCGCCGAAGGTCTACTCCAAGGAAATGTATTATTCAGAATCAGCGATATGAAACCTAGACGTGACCTGTAGAGTGGGTGGCAGCCTCATGTTTGTGCAAAGCGCCGAGCCGTGGAGTGTGCATATGGACGTTCGAACATGCCAATTTCGTGCCATGGCATTCACACATCCACACTTTCTTTCACTGTCAGAGAATAATTCGGCATTGCTAATAGCCGAACTGTAGAAACGGCGCATGTACTCTGCGAGGACTGGACACCCGAAGAACTTCCACAGTATTTTTCAGAACTCATTTGTGGATGCAGCTACAACAAGGTCCAAATTGATAGACCAGAATTGACCAACAAACACAATAAGCACTTTTCTTTAGTCCTGGAATGCAGCCAAACAATGGTGCACACTATACCTTGTTTGTAATGCTCACAAGAGCACTTTTTGTTTGGTGGCCAAACATTGGTGTGAGCTATGCCTTGTTTGTATGGCTTGGACATACTGCTATGGTGTCAAATCATACTAGTAGTGCCGTGCCTGCATGAGTCCTCATAAGCCATCCCCCTCCTTGAGTTGCCATCACAAGCAAGTGAAATGCCTGGAAATTGACACCATATCCCAGAGACCACAAAGGAGCAATGGGTCAAAATGTCCACCCACATGAGCTTGAGAGAAATTGCAAGGGTCACTGGTTACAGTCAATGGACTGTCAACCATGTCCTTCACTTGTCACACCAGACAGGCTTTGTGGTTGTCAAGTCTGGTGTAGGAAAAGTCCAAGTAGCTGTATTATATGAGCTAGATGGCTTAGGTAACAACAATAAAATGAAGGGAATGAATTGCTCATCCCAAGGGATTCTGGACTGTCAAAACTAGAAGGTGGGACTCAGCACTTCATAGCAGTAACAATTCATGACATGTGTGGCATGGTCCACAGTGTAGTACTGGCAGTGTGAGTGTTGCAAGTGGTATGCATGGTTTGTGTGCAGTTGTTGTGAGATGTGTGGTGTAGACAAAGTGAAAAAGAAACTCATAGTGACCTTCTGAGTGCCAAAATTATCATTCTGTACCTAGGTACTAATGAAGGTATGAGTTTCTCAGTGTATGAAGTAGTCACTATATTAGTACCTAATGAAGGTATGAGTTTCTACACTATGTCAGTACCAAGTAAATGAGTGGGAATCTAGCTATACTCACCTCAGTGTATGAAGTAGTCACTGAGGTGGAAAACAACAGTGCAGAAAATTTATAGTATGATAATTAGTAAGTGTGTTGACATCAGAATTTAATTCCGAGGGTTGGGGAGAAACTCTGAGCCCTCTGGGTGAAACTCTGAGACACTACTGTAACTCCAGATTGCATTCTCAACACTCCCCCTCAATCAGAATGAAGTCCAAGTGCAGATGTGAAGTGTTTTGCCTTGATGCTAGGTAGAGGTTTGGTAAGGGTATCAGTGACCATGTCATCAGTGGGACAATAAATTAAATGAAAGGAATGATTTTCCACAGCAAAATGAATGAAATGGTATCATATATCAATGTGCTTGGTGCAAGCATGATAGCTGCCATCTTTGGTAAGTGCAATGGTGGATTGACTGTTGGAATACAGTGGGATAGGGTGTTTGAGTGGTTGGAAAACTTCCCTGATGAGTTGTCAAAGCCACAGGCCCTCTTTGGCTGCATGAGTTGCTGCAATGTACTCCACTTCAGCAGTGGAGAGCATTATGAGTTCTTGTTTCCATGAAGCCCAGCTAATAGCTCCTCCATCCAGTAGATAGGCATATCCACTTATAGCCTGTTGATGCTCCTGTGAAGCTCCATCTGCATTGGTATAGCCCTTGAGGCCTCATTCTGAATTTCTGAATGTCAAAGCAAGTGCTTTTGTGCCTGAGAAATACCTGTAGATTCATTTCATGGCCTCCAAGTGAGTCATGTTGGGTGCATTGTTGAACTGTGTGACTGTGGAGACAGCAAATGCAATGTCAGGGCACATTCCAATGGCAAGGTGCATGAGGGAGCCAACAGTGGCATGGTAGGGTACATTTTTCATGCATGCAGCTTCTTTGGCTGGCTGTGGAATTTCTCCACAGGAGAGTTTTATGCTGGGGTCCATCAGAATTGCAGCTGGCTTGCAGTTGGTGAGGTTGTATTTCATTAGGATAGCCTCAATGTATGACTGCTGTGACAGGGATATGGTGCAGGCTTCTCTATTCCACATCACCTTCATTCTGAGTAGCCAACTGATGGGCCCTAGGTCAGAGATTTTGAAATGAGTGCTTATCTCCTGTTTGAATGAGTGAATTAATGATGGGGAACTGCCTGTCACAGTGCAGTCATTGACATGGCTGGCAAGGATGAGGATTTCTGATCCTATGCAACTATAGAATACTCCCCAGTCTGCATGTGCCCTGGTAAGCCCAAGGTCTGCAAGATTTGCACACAGCTTCTGGTACCACTGAAGTGCACCTTTTTTTGAGCCATATAATGCTACATTTAGCTTCCCAACTGGATGGGAAAAATTCCGCCCTTCAGCATAGCCCTCAGGGAGCTCCATGTAGATGTCTTCACCATCTCCAAGTTTTCCATTGAGGAATGCCAAGTGGAAATCAAATACGTTGATATCCCAGTCATTGTGTGTGGTGATTGCTAGTATGGTGCAAAGAGATGTGAGTCTTGTGACAGGAGCATATGTTTCATCATAGTCAACGCCCTGGATCTGAGAGTAGCCCTCAGCAACTAGGTGGGCCTTGTACTTCTCAATCTCTCCAGCAGCATTGTGTTTGATCTTGAAGACCCATTTGCATCCTACAACATTTGCACCCTTGGGGCACTCAATGACCTCCCAGGTATGTGCTTCCTCTAGGCTCTTTAATTCTGCATTTATGGCATTTTGCCACTTTGGCCAGTCAGCTCAGGATTTTACCTCCTGTACTGTCAACAGATCCAGCCCTTCAGCTTCAGCCATCCATGCCACCATAGCATACATGATGTTAGTGTTGTCTTCATCAGTAGCTAGTTCTTTGTCAAGTATGTAGGTGGCATTCTCTTGGGATTTAGGGCTGTTAGGATTGCTGTCACTCTCTTGGAGTTTTTTTACAAAGTTGAGAGGGATGTGCCCATCACAAGTGCCTTCCCCTGCATGTAGGTACCTCATATAGACTGATTCAAAGTGCTGGTGAGTAGAATGATGAAGTTGAGGTGGAGGTGTTTCAAAATTTTCTCTGAGTGGGTCTGGAATGAGTTTTGGATTTTCCAAAGTTGCTTCAGTGGGTCACTCAACTGTCTGCATGGCCTCAGAATTTCCTTGTGAAGCTGCAGAATTTTGTTTTGAGGCATCAGAATTCCCCTGCTCCCCCTCAAGTGGCACACCATGTGGTATGGACACATCTTGGCACTTGAAAATGACACTACATTCTATGCTGATTGCTCATGTGTCTGGCCAGTAGATGCAGTGGTCATTGCTCTCAGGATCAAATCCTACCCAGTGTCCATCTCAGGCTTGCATGTCTAGTTTGGAGCCAGAGGTGTCACAGACCTTGACATGACATCCCCAGACTGGAATTTCTGAGAGGTCAGGTGGTCTTTGGTAGAGCATTTCATAGGGAGTTTTTGTGCCTAGATGGCGAGTTGACAAGCAGTTTTTGAGCCAGGTCACATGCATGATGGCCTCCCCCCAGAGATTCTTGGGTAGGCTGCTGGTGTGAATCATCACACATACACGCTCAACAAGTGTTCTGTTGAGTCATTCTGCAACTCCATTGTGTTTGGGGGTATCATGGATGGTTATGCATTGTTCTGTGCCTCGGGATTTCAGATATTCCGAAAATTCCACACTAAGATACTCTCCCCCATGATCTGAGTGAAGTCACTTGACTTTAGTATTGAACTGCATGTTAAGCCATGCTTCATAGGCCTTGTATGATGTGAAGGTCTCAGCTTTCATCTTCTGGAGGTACAGCTTGGTGTAGCAGGTGTGGTCATCCATGAATGACATGTAGTACTGACTGTGGCCAGGGGTTTGGACTGGAGAAGGTCCCCAGAGATCTGTGTGGACCTTGTCACCTAGATGTTCATAGTGGAGTGGGTCATGCTCCTTCCCAATGGGCTTCCAAGTCACTTTGGCATATTCACATGAGTTGCATGTGCCCATGGTGGAATGTGCTTCATCCAGTTTAATTCCACTGATCATGCCATCCTTGAGCATGTGCTGGATGGCTTCAGGAGCAATATGGCCAAGCCTGATGTGTATCTCCTCCATGGTTAGGGATTCTGTGGCCTTGGCTAGGCCTGCAAAGGCATGACAAGCTCGTTTGAGGCAGTGGAGCCGTCTTTGCATTGGAATTTTGGCTACTTTCTTTTTCCAAGCATTGAAAATTTGACAACACTTGTCACAGAATAATGCTGCATACCCAGCAACATCAAGTTTGCTAACAGAAACAAGTGTAATTCCCATCTTGGGAGCATAGAGCACATCCTTGAGTTGAATGTGGGTCTGGGTAGTGCCATTTGGGAGTGAGATTGCAGGATCACCTTTTCTGATGGCATGGAAGGTGTGATTGTCAGCTGCAGTGATAGGTTTGGGTATGATTGGCTTGTAATTGAGGAATTTGCTGCAGTAGGAGGACGTATGATGTGAAGTG